GAACCACATAAATCTCGGTATCCTTATTTTTCTGGCATTTACGGTAATTATTTAATTTTTACCATGGTTATTATTTCTGGTGGATTCGATCATCAATATCCAATATTGAAGCATTTTTTCCGCAGACCCCACTCGGGATCAGGTATAATCCCAACACATAGGGACATAAGGTAATATAGAACAACAACTTCCAAACACTACAAGTTCCCTTGTGAAGGAGTAAACTCTCCCATTACTAGCCCAGATCAACCATATTATTACGAAGGACTCTAGACACATTCCACCACTTTATGACAGACATCCATATTTTTCCTATTGTCTTACATAGTAATAAAGAATGAGTCACAGTCTCAGGTTCCAAGTTACAAATAGAACACATACAATCATTAGCAATTTGAAAAATATTTCTTCTAAACAGATTAACTCTGCACGGTATTTTGTTTAAGAATACTCTCCAAGCAAAGATAGCCACTTTGGCTGGGATAAGAGGATTAACCTCATCTACCTCTTTCTTTTCTAATAAAGAATTTAAAGATTTAACTGAAAACATACCTTGCTTATCAAGAGTCCAGATCATCCTATCCTCAATGCCAAGTAGAATCGAGACACCGTTGAGCTTCGCTTCTAGTTGCTGCCAATACTCTTCTTTAAAGCTCCTAAAATCACGAATCCAAGATAATTCCCAATGCCATCTTCTGTTAGTAAAAGAACCACAGTTAGAGATCCTTACTCCTTTATTGGATGTTATTCTAAACAACCTAGGGAAAACAGAACATATAGGAATGTCGTAGAGCCAGGGATCTAACCAAAAAGAAATTTGGTTCCCATTTCCTACAATCCACCGAAAACCAAGCCTGCAAATATCATTGAGATGTGCAGAACTTACTAAGGCAACAATGTCGCGCCAATTTGGTGATGGTTTTCTCCAAAATTTCTTATCCAAGTCCAGTTTAAGCATAGCTTCATGACCATATTTTGAAATCAGAACTTTCTTCAACAAGAAACCCGGTTGACTTAAATCTCCACAATCATTTACCCAGCAAAGCCATACTTTTCCTCTTGAAATCAGGTATCCCTAAACCACCACACTTCTTACTTAAGCATATATTTTTTAAAGAAACCCAACATAATTGTTTTTCATTTTCAATGCCTCGACCCCAAAGGAAAGCTCTCTGGATAGCTTCTATTTTTCTTATGACCTTCATTGGAGCTTTAACTGGGCATAAAATATAAAGGCAGGGAGGACAACACAAATTCAATAAGAGCTATCAATTTAAGGAGTTTATGAATTTTTAAGTGACAAATTGATGTGTATGCACGATAAAATGCATACCCTGTACAATGGGAGACCACCAATGAAATTAGCTCAATGTTTAATAGATGTAATTTTATAGTTCAAGAGTTCAATGGTTCAAAATAAAATTTAAAAATGCCATAAAATTTCTTGCAAAAAGTACAAGAATGAATTTATACATTTGATATACTATAATGTCTATTAATTTATTGATAAATTTATGGTGACTATATCTATTGTCATATTTATTAACTGCCGGTACAATTGTAATTTATCATTTTTATGTATTTTTTATATCTAAAAATAAATTTTATATACGAAATATTTTATATGTTTAAATGTTTTTACACTCTTATTAGTTAAAAATTGAAATTTTTATATTTTTATATTAATTTTATAATATATATTAAAGAACAATATTTGACTTATGCTTGTGGGAATCTAATAAAAAACACAAACTATAATTTTTTTTTTTTTTCGCCATTACATACTATATATGAGCAATATTCTAGACCGCTTTTGCAACATCCTACTAGTCAACACCTCCTTTGAATGTGATAGGAATTGGAATTAGGACAGCTGACGACGGGTCTAGAGGCCTTTTGCCTTGAGAAAAACTCTTTTAGGAGAGGGCGTTCAGGTCCTCTTGCTAGTTCCAATTTCGCTTCAAAAATGTAGCTGAATATAGCTATTGGAGCTAGTTGCCTCTTTGTAGCTGTTCTTCGTCTTATAGCTATTCTACTTCCTGGTGCTGTTAGGACAAGGACTCCTGAGCAGTCTATATTCACATAATAGTGCAATTGAAGCAGATTTATATAATTACTATTCTAAATATAACATCAAAACCCATTAAAGGAAATCCAACCAATAAAGGGAGCAATTATAATTAAAACTACTCCTTTCATTTTCTTTATTAGGAGAAAACAGAAAAAGCTCAATGAATAAGTTAGTTAATCCAATTTCTCTCTCCTAATTTTATCTAAAATGCCCTTAATCATAGTTTATTACAAAATTAATAATTGTGAAGCTAAAATGGAATTAGGGAGTCCCAAAAAACGCATTAATTGTGTTTATTTCTCTCAAACATTAAAAGAAAGCAGACAAGATGGCTTCTTTGAAGTGTCAAAAAAATTTAAACTTTCCATTTTAATATTGTAATTAAATTTAAATAGCGCACAATTACTTTAAAATAAGTTCTAAAATAGCTAAACTTGGTCTCAAATTTTAATAATATAGCTAAATTTAATGGGTTCTCACATTAAGAGAACAATTTCTGCCCATTTTTTATGTTTACGCGCCCAAGATTAAAAAATTTTTTGTGGCCAACTTTTTAAAGTTAGACAATGATTGTTCAACTTTCTAAAAAATGGAGAAGCCAAAATTTTAGAATTAACTTCTTTAAAATTTTAAAAATTTTCAAAAAATGAATTTGAATCTATGTTTATAATTTGTTTCTCCCAAATTAAGAAATTCCTGGCCATTTTTGTAAGGTTGCAGCCATAATAAAATTAAATTGGGGTCAATTTACTCGATCACACTACGAAACTCCTCAACTCCGCAGCCTTTTGATTAGTGTATTGGTTATGCCTCCATGGAAATCAAGGAACAATTTTGCTAATGTACATAAATGGGTTCAAAATAATAAACAATAAATAAGAAAAAACAAAAAAAAACAAAAACAAAAACATTTACAGACCACATCGAAAGTGTTCCTATTAATCTAAAATTGTGCTCATATATTTGAGGTCCAGCCTTTGATCTAGGTTATTTCAGAAAATTAACATGTAATAATTTCTTTTTGTTCCCAAATTATTAAATTTACCATCACATATATCAATTTCTCTGCTTATCAGTAATAAATAGAGCTCAAAACTTCGAATTTAATGCAAAATGCAATTAATCCACGGGTTTTGAAGAGTATTAAATACTAACAAAAATGTTTCTGCCACTTTTCTATTTTCTCATGTTGGACGACAATTATAGGAAAACTAATTCAGGGGCAAGCTAGTATTTCCATTTTGGCACTATACTTTGTTGGATTATTCCACATCGGTTGTGAAAAAGGTTGGTGATCAAGTTATAAGTGTGAGTGAAAGTCTCACTTTTTGAGCTAACTTTTGGGATTGAGAAGGTCTAAGATCACCCATCAGTGGTATCAGCTGATACCCAACATACTTCTCAATTAGAGTAACTTAGATCACATTTCTCTATATATAAAAGAAAATGCTTAAAAAAAAAGCATTTTTCTAAATAAAAAAGAACGGAGGGAGTACAAATTAAAGGATCACATTATAAACACAAATTTTGCATTAGAATGACATTATAATAATTTTGAAATATTTGTAAGTGCAAAATGACATGGTATACAAAGGCCACTTGCAACCAACTATTGTCTCCTATAGATAGGGACAACCCTCTAGCTGATCAGATATCAGATGAAATACCTAGAGGCCCACTCTCTATCAAAGTCACACACTACAGTAAATCTGCCATCTCCTTTAGTCAAAGTTGGTAATGAATCTATTGGGCATGTTGAAATTTACTACTATATATTTAGATTTTATTTTTAAAAGTGAATTAGAAATATTAATGGGTCCATATTTTCAATTGAAACCCTCTAAACTTGCGTGTGATACGTAATTTTATATAATTTTGTCTTGATTTTGCACTAAATGAACCAAAAAAAAATGAACCAAAAAAAAAGTCTAATTTTTGACAGAGAAAAAAAATAATTATTTGTAATATTTTCAATTGATAAAATTATTACTATTAACATTATTGTCTTACTAAGAATAAAACTATTAAATATTAAAAATTATTTTTTATTCTTTTTAAAAGTGGTAATCCTCTAAATTACCATTAACATTATTGTTTTATTCTTATTCATAATCTTATTTTACAAATTAAATTAATGGAAAACATATTTTTATTCAAGTTTTTCAATCCAAGATTCTTTTCCTTCTGTAAGATGAAAATAGATAATTAAGAACATATAGAAATGTAAACATAATCAAATTTAAATTGATTTCTAGTTTTTAGTCTCTTTTTTTTTTCTCCTTTGCACATTCTAACAATTAAGACTGCAAAATAAGTAATTTGCATATTTGACAATTGTCATTTACAATTTTTAATTAGAAAGAATTATAACTGCTTTACAAGCTCCAATAATCCAATAGTCAAAATATGTTATCGAATATTATAAAAAATAATATTAAGTGTTTCGACAAAAATTACTTAAAAAGCAGTTGTCCAACACAGCTTATATGGACTATTATATATATCTCATTCACAAACCCTCAAATAATCCATTTCTTAGACTAGTGTGATCTCAGTAGTCAAGAGTGATTAAAAAGTTGATTATCGTAAGTACATACTAATACACACATACAAGTCAGAATAAAAAAAAAAAAAAAAAAAAAAATAGTCCAAATATGTATCGAATATTATAAAAATAATCATTAAGTGTTTCGACAAAAATTTAACTAAAAAGCAGTTGTCAACACAGCTTATATGGACTATTATATATATCTCATTCACAAACCCTCAATACTCCATTTTCTTAGCCTAGTGTGATCTCATAGTCAAGAGTGGATTAAAAAAGTTTGATTCTCGGTATAACATACTAATTACACACATACAAGTCCAGAATAAAAAAAAAAAAAAAAAAAAATGAAAGCTGATCAACCAGGTCTGTTATGCTTAAAAAAAAAAAAAAAAAAAAAAAATGAAAGCTGATCAACCAGTCCTGTTTATGCTTAAGCCCTGAAAAAGCCAATGTGGCTGTTTTCTTTCATGATCAAACGTTGCAGTGCTAGAGCTACTCATAGGTGTTGTCGGACCACTACAATCCTCTGCTCTTTCAGCCGGAAAATCAAGCTCCTTCATACGCCTATTCCCCGGTTCTTGATTCAGCGACGCTCTCTTCTTGCTTGTACTACCTCCAATACTCAATGTAAGCTCAACTTCAGTATCTTTGTAAGGAATATTATCATCAACTACACTAACTGCAGTTGATATATCTTCCTCTGCAGGCCTTTCAAGATCCAATCCTCTTGCTATTCTTATTATATTCTCGCCGGAGCAACTACCGCTTCTTTCTCTTGGGCTTGGATCATCTCTCAAGTTTTCAACGTTAATACTACTATACTGATAACTGCTTTGGATAATATCTGGAGTAGCCATAGGACTCCAGTACTTTTTAGTTTGTTTAATTTCCTTTCTTAGCTCTTCCATTAGCATCTTTTGAACACTGTACAGTCTGTGTAGTTCCCGTACCTGTAAGTTACTGTTTCTTGTTAAATTTCTAATATACTGATAGTAATGAGAATGATTACCTAGACTCGGTCTATGGACCGACAATGGATCGAATCAATAAAAAAGTACATATTTTTTGGGAAAACAAGGGTTTTTCTAACCATTTTTGAAACATTCTATTATAATAGGTTTGATCTATGGATAGACCCATAGAACAGATAATAAAAACATTTATCCCAACCAATTATACTTGTCTAGACCGGGACATCACAGACGTGCAGCCAGACCGAAATCTAACCGCATCGCCAACTATAGACATCATTATGTACAGAACAACAAGTGTCTTAAAATAAGAGTTTAGAATGTTAATTACCTGATGTTTGAAGGTATCTTCATGCACCTGCATTGTTTTTCTAATGAAATCTATGTTCTGGTTTTCAGGCATTCTACAGTCAACTCCAGTAATTTTGAAGTCAATGTTCAGTCCTCTACTTTGCAAATGATCCACAAAATCAACATTAAAGCTGGTGCTATTTGATGAAGGTGCTAGAAGATTTCTTGCATATTCAAGTTTAGTTCCCATCCCTGAAATGATATTAATAATCATATTTCCGATAAGAGCATGTATAGGTGGTTAGAGTCTAACCAGGTTAATCTGAATTAAAAACATAAAACACGAATTTTCGCCGGTAAATTGTGATTGATATTAAAGATAGAGAGAAGGAAAAGCTGACAAAAATTAACAACTGAAGTATGTAACATTTTAAGTAATTCAAATTCCAATCTTGCTAAACAAGAATTCAGATGAAAGAAACTGAAGAAACATATCCTAAAACATAAATACATTAAGATCTATTTCTTGAAATTCACTCATATTTAATTTATATAATAATCTTATCTCCAAAAATTGTGGGTTTGATTCTTCTCTTATAAGTAGGCACTTATAGTCATCTTTTTCTATTATATTCTAAATAATTATGTTTGCAGAAATATTAAAATAATTTCGAATTAATATTTAGTTCATAGGATACGACGAAAAATAATAAACTATTTTTATTTTTGAAGTCAAATTAAAAATAAGTTACACAAATTCATTCTATTAATTAAGATAGACATTCAAATTAAGTCAGACACGAAATTAGAAAATGCTAAGTTTTAAAAAAATCCGATTCATCTAATCCGTAATTTTCCTTATAAATCAAAACTCAGTAGATAGAAAGTGAAGATGTCTAAGGGAGAAATGGAGGGTGGGGGACAAAAGGAACGGAGAAAATTGCATTGGAAGATATGAAAGTGTCAAAAGAATAGTGCCTAGACAAGGAAAAAGAATGTAAAGTGAAAATGGGATGTAGGCAATAGAGAGACCAAATATGGGCTGTGGGTCTTTCTCTCTCTGGAAGTGGTAGAACCATCACTAGCGAAAGAAAGAAAGAACAGTAGAAGTCTTTATCATCTTCAAAAATTGTTCTAGAAAAATGTCAAGTTGTTTCTCTTCATTCCAAAAGACAAAGCCTTTTCATGTCTATCCACATGATGCAATCACACTAATAGTGATAAAAATTTATTCTTTTGATGTAACTTCTCCTTTTCTATTTTAAGACTTAAACCTACCAAAATAAGAATATAAATTCAATAATAACTTAATCAAAGTAAATAAATCTTAATTACTCCTACTAAAAAAATCATGAATATGCTTAATTAGTTTATATATTTGAAGCAAGAAGCTTGAAAATTCTTACCACAAGAAATCAAGAAAGAGCAAGAACATATATATAATTATCTTCCCAAGAATTGAAAAATCGTTGGAATTATAAGAACAAAAGAAAACAGAGAGAGAGAGAGAAAAACCCAAGTAATGAATTGATAAGTGTCAGAATTACCTGCAATAAAAAGTGACCGGATGGCGAATATCTCCGATGAGGATCATTGAACATGTTCTTCCTTTTTAATGCGAAAGCCGACGTCATGAGCTTCCATAATTCATGGTTTTAGGGAATTAGTGTGGACGGAGCAATCTAAGAAGTAAAGAGAATTACTAATATTTTTGTTGAAGATAAAGATAAATGACTTGGAAGCACCAGCGAGAATGACGATCTCTTTCTTTGACAGCCCAGAAATACTAATCTCTCTCTCTCTCTCTCTCTCTTAACTTAGAGAATCAACAAAGCAAGCCTGTTTCTAAAAAATTATAATCATTATCTTAATAATTTAAGCTTGACAGGCTGTGAAGGAAGCAGGCAAGAAAAAAGCTTGGACTATATAATAATATATGCATTAAGAGAGACAGGGTGTTATATATATATATGTGGGATCAGGGAAGTAATTCTTTAATGTTCAAATTAAAATGTAAAAAAATTAATCCATAAATGTTTGAAAAAGAGATTCAATATCGATTCACGAGTTTTTGGTCCAAAATATTATTGATCTGCTAATTTAATAACGATAACAAATAAGGATTTGAGTGTTAAAGAAAAAGAAAAGGAAAAGAAAAATAATCAAGATTAATAATTATTTTAAATGACAATCACCTATCGACTGAATGAATATATGAGAAATAAAGATACATTCAGTATATCCAAGTATTTTCTTTCAAATATACGTATAAAAAAGAAATATTATACTGTATTTATTTGAGTTGGAATAAGGAGTACTAGAGAATATAGAAGAGAGAGAAGATGAAAGAAAGGGTTATGGGACCACAAAAACCAGAAAATAAAAACAAATGACACTCCTGAACATAAGCCAATGTAGGGCAATGAACAAGATATTCCAGACAAAGTGTTTGCAGGAAAATCAAGAAATGCATGAATGATGGAAAAGCTGTTGCCTCTTAATTTAGTATTTCAATGCTCGCTATTCTCCCTTTTAATTTAACCCTAAGTCTAGTTGGGAATTAGATTTGTTGTCTACTTGATTATGACTTAAAATGATTAATTTAGTCCTCTTACATCATTTTCATTTATGCATATTATCATTTCTCAATTTTAATTTATATTCTTTAAATATCATTTTCAATTTATATTCTTTAAATATCAATTTTAGTACAACTAATATTTCTTATAAAAGAGAGAGAAAAAAGGTGGAGTAAAAGAGTGAAGGGAAAATTTAATTAGATGATAATATTTTTATTAAAAAAAGTTAAAATTATCGATCAGGTGTCATCTAATTATTAGTTTTCTCACTAATATTAAAAATAAGAAGTTTTCAGTTTAAGTTATTTGGATCGTATGAGTGTTCACCAATTTGATAAGCTAAAATGAGGATTATCTCTTATTGTAAAACTCATAATATTACACAAGTTCATCGAGCCTCTCAATAAATAAATAAAAAAAAGATTAAAGTTACCTGATTATAATGCAATTCCACATTCATTTTTTTATCAGAATTAGGCATAAGATATAATTGTATTACACAAAGATATATTTGATGAATTTTAAGTAATAATTTATAATTTGAGAGATTATATTATACCTGAGCAGTGATAGTTGATTTTTACAAGTACTATAATATACCTAAGTAATAATTTCTTTCCTTGTAAATTTTTACAAATACTATAGTTTTAGAATTCAGCATATGAAAAAAAAAATCTTGATTTTAAAAAGAAATTTTGGGAAAATCTTTTATTTGCCATACTTATATTTCATTTCATATGATTGATTCCATTTGATGATTTTTTTTATATATATTTCTCTTTTTTTCAATGAATTTTGTAGTAAAAATGTAAAAAGTTGTTGAAACTTTATTGTAGTGTATCAAATTTCAGCAGCTGGGTTGGGACTTGAGTTGTACATATTATTGGCTCCATAGCACTGGTGATTGGTAAACTCTTCACATGAACAGTGGCATTAATAGTCATCTCAACTACTTTCAGAAAATAATCACAGTATTTGTCCTTCATTTGACCCACATTCTCTTACGCTACTGCTACTGTCTATCTTGGCAATGGATGGGCACTGGTTACAAGGTTTCGGTTTTTTTTTTTCCGCCCATTAAATACTATGTATGAGAAATTTATTACAATATGCACTCAGACACTCTCGTAATTAAAGAAGACTCACGTAATTACAATTTTAAATATAAACTGCATTAAAATCAATTAAGGACAAAGAAGGCGAAGATTGTCGCAACTCTCAAGTTACCATATTCATAACATAACTTATTTCCCTGACAATCTCTAAACCATTTATGGTCAACGGAAGCCACGAAGCTTGCCTGTTAGTTACCTTTAACCAAGGATCTCACCCCCTCTCAACTTATGAATCATCAATAGTGAAGAGAGACTCACAGAACTTATCATTGTGACCAAGTACCACATACGTAGCAAAAATTAGGTAAATTTTCATAGCAAAGAGTCCCATCAGGTTTTGCACCTTCTTCCATCATTTCAAGGTTTTCCTTACATCAATTTGAACTCTAGTTCTCGTACATTTTCTCCAGCTACCCAAATTGTTGTTCGGATCATAATTCACATATACGCCAATAAACTCACATGACTGCTTGGTTACAATCTCCAACATTGAACTTGATGGCAACTCATGGATTTGAAACCAAAACTCCGAAAGAATAATGGAATAAAGACAGGATATAAACCTTCATCAATCTTCTGAATAATTAGCAAATGATTGTTAAAGGTCCAAGGACCTCCTTTCGACACCCTTTCAACATCAATGGATGAGAAAATAAATCTTTGGAGCAATCTTTGTAATGCATAATATTCATCTACTCGATCTCCATATTTTGTGTCCTCTGTCCTCCTACGTGAACCCAGACTGAAAATAGAAAAAGATCACTTGCACAAGCGGCAAGACAAAGTCACTTGCTCAAGCGACAAAGAAAGAAAGAACTTTATCAGATTTAAAATTACGTTGAAATAAATGGTTCTTGTTGAGATTTATAATTAATATCTCAAACTTATTACAAAAATAGCATAATTTATGAGAATTTAAAATTAATAAGAATTTTCTCATAAACCCTTTGTATTATAAGAACTTGGTAAACATCTAAATATTTTTCTTACATTGGATATTTTTATCTAAACAAATTAATTTATTGATAGTAAAAGAAAATTTTTAATTTTGCACATACTAGAGTTCATTAAAAAAAATACTGGAGTGGATTTTCAAAAAAAAAAAAAAAGTTTATCTTTTAAAATAAAATCACATTAGATGATAATTGATTTGTGTCAGTATCGAAATCAAATCAAAAAGAGTTGAAATTAAAACCACTTCGACAATTTCAATTCTAAATCATATTAAAATTGAGGCTCGGATTATGATCTCTTCTTTTTTTCAGAAAATTGAAAACACAACTAAAATTAGACCAAAATCAATTAAACCTTTGTTAGGATAGAACCGAGTGAACTAAAAAATCGAAATCTTAATTTAAAATTCCAGAAAACTTTATACCCTTAATTTATTAAATAAGACTCTCGAGTTCCATGAATTGACAAGGACAAGACACCATTAGACTACTTCACATATTTAAAATCTAAAATCTTTAAATTTTGTACTTGTCACCGTCACAAGTTCCTTTGTTGGAATTATATTTTTGTGGCAAAAGCATGGGAAAAGGTAAAGAAACAAGTGCCGGTATCTCCAATTGATAAGCACGCGTTGTAGCCTATTACAGGCACAGACCGAAATTTGTAGGGCCCGTTTCCTACTTCTTTCGCTTTTGAAATAATACGTCAGCACTTACATTTTGAATTCTCTCCGATTATCAAGAAAAATACTTGCTTATACCGATTTAATGGTTCCAGATCAAATTAACGAACTAAAAATCTTTTAAAAAGTATTTAATATTATTCTTTTTTAAAGTATTTAATATTATTCTTTTTTGATAAGCATATAGTTAGAAATATTTTCGTTTCATTTTTATAAGTGTATGGTTAGAAATATTCTCGTTTCAATAAAAATTTTTAATTTCATTGGTTTGGTTCATAAGTGGAGTCGTCGACTCAGTTTAGATAAGTTTTTGAAATCTTGAACTAGTGGTTTCAAGAACCGGCCGGAACCAAACGCTTTGACAATCAGTTAGAACCAGTGGTTCTAACCGAGTCCCAACACATTTTTTTTTAATTTTTTCAAAAGTTTTTATCAAATCCTCAAATTAACTCCTATAACGGCTATATTTAAAGGTATTTGTGGAAGTTATGTTTTTGGATTTATTATAAATATATCATTATTTTCATTCTCCTCACACCAAATTATTTCTCTCTACTCTTTAATTTATAATTAAAAATTATTGTTAAATAATTTCCCCAATATCTAATTAAATTCAAGCCTTTTGTTTAATTTTTCTTAGAGTTATTTTTAAAACTTATTTCATAAATATTTAAATTTTAAATTTTGAAAAAAAAAATGTTTTCTACTTTTTTATTTTAAAATTATGCAAACCGTCCCGAAAAATAGGTCAGAGAACCATTTGGAACCGTCAATTTTGGAACTGTTAAGGAATCGGAATCATAACCGGAACTGGCCAATTTCAAATCGTAATCGGAACCATAAATTTCAAATTCGATTCTAATTCCACCTTTTTTGAAACTGCAACCGGCAGTTCCGAAACCGAGTTCACCCAATCCTACAAAACCAACGGTGGAGAATTTTGATTGAAATGTTAAAGTGAGACTAACATTTATGTACGAAATACATAACCATTATATTTGATTTGTGCTTGTAATAAAATGACATAACCATCAATTTTACACTCTTTGTGCAAATTCGATTTAAACTCAATCAAATCAAGATAAACTAATAATTGAAATTTTTATATAAATTGGTTAGATTTAGTTTACTTTTAACATTTTTATGTTTCTCGATTTTATATAAAATAGATTATTATAAAATATTTATCAAGAAAACATTTTCTACGGAAGCTATTTTTCAAACAATTTATTTCCTATTATATAATTGTAATATTGAAAATACCCATAATATTAAAAAGATAAAAAAAAATAATTCATAAGATTATAAAATATTTTATTTATTGTATAAAAACTTGAGAAAAAAATGCATAAAGTGATTTATATTATCAACGTCGACTGCGGCTGATAACATATATTAGTGATTAACTATTGACTAGTATCAGTCGATGATGATTAATAGTGATTATTGGTGGTTACTGAATCAATTAATAAAAATGCGCGTTTAAAAAATTATAATAAAAAATTTATGAATGACTAGAAAATTTTTTTTCCTCTTATTTTTTAAATAGCTTATTTTCTTTTAAGTAGGAAATATTTTCCATTCACTAATATTTTTGAGTTGGCTAAACATGAGAAAATTTAAATATTTGGCTTTTAAGTAGGAAATAGTGTTTGCCATGTCGGGACTAGAGTAGGTTTTTTGAGTGGTCTAAACATGAGAAAATTTA